ACTGGACAATGTTGGAAAGGAGAGGTCAGAAGCAAAACTGGACAATGTTGGAAAGGAGAGGTCAGAAGCAAAACTGGACAATGTTGGGAAGGAGAGGTCAGAAGCAAAACTGGACAATGTTGGAAAGGAGAGGTCAGAAGCAAAACTGGACAATGTTGGAAAGGAGAGGTCAGAAGCAAAACTGGACAATGTTGGAAAGGAGAGGTCAGAAGCAAAACTGGACAATGTTGGGAAGGAGAGGTCAGAAGCAAAACTGGACAATGTTGGAAAGGAGAGGTCAGAAGCAAAACTGGACAATGTTGATTTGTATAATTAATGTAACATGTACATTTAGTAAGCTATAGCAGTGTAATAATTATTATATCCGTCTTTGTACAAGTATTGCCAAAACTTGATACCACACATAGCATAATTTTAAGATGTGTAATAGCGGGTGTGCTAAAAAAGTAGGTCACAAATGTACACCCATGAACACATTTCATTGATAAGACGCCATTGTGGTTGGTGTCAAACACTCGGATGTGAAGGATGTTGATAGCACCAGACGAGAGGTTTGTGGAGAAGCTCTTGGGTGTCAACAGTTCACAACTGATCTATCTACAATGGATCTGGGGTTCATTTAATTCAGTTCAACAACATCCCCATACAAAGCTAATCCTGGGTACAAGAAGCGAGTCCTGGCGTGTGCCCCAAGAGCAAACTTAATATAAAAGTGCAAAAAATGTTGATCATGTCTTTGAGAGATTTTTAAAATAATGTTAGACTAATTCTTAGTTATTTGAGGTGTATTCAGGACCCAAACACTATTCGGTCAAACACTGAATGACCATCAAATGGTAATGGTAATAAATGGTAAATCAAATCACACACAAAAAAAAAAAAATATTTGTTAATACTAATATAGTCAAACTCGCTTATCTCGACATCGGTTAACTCGCCAACCCTGTTATGTCGACGTTTTTGAAAAGGAAACGCCTAATTATTTTTTTGTCTTAGCATTTTCTCCACGGTTATGTCGATTCGTTTATGTTGCCGAACCCTGATGTCTCGAGCACAAAAGGCGGCAAAATTTGCTACTTAACCTCGGTTACCTCGATCCCCATGACCAATCGCCGGCTTTTGAACTCCGCAAGAAGAAATAGCAAACAACAAATAAACAAAGTTTTCACAATTAAAAATAATTATTTATTTCTCAAAATACAGGACTGGTGTTTTAGAATGAACCTAGAAGTAATTTAAATAAATAGGTTTTAATTCGAGGTTTAAAAGCCCGGTAGAGTCCATAGTATAAATGATCATAATTTGCCGTGTGCAAAGCCTAGCCAATTGGTCAGGGAAAGCTTTAATTAAATAGTTATGTGCCAAAATTGAAAGTTCAAAATAAGTAGTCCCTAAATAGCATTTTAGTTTTAGTAATAAGGCGATGCATTGCCTTATTCTTATTTAATAGTCATTGCGCCAGACATAACCAGCAGAATGACGTCACAAAATGTGGGGAGGCTTCGTCCATAGAACAAAATACCAAACGAACCCGCACTTTCAACATTCGTAGCTCAAAAAGTGCTGAAGTTAAAAACTGGATTCTGATTTCATTTTTTTTTTTCATTTGATTAATTTGAAATTTGCTCTTATTGAATAACTGTAATATTTTTAAAAATATTATTATTATTTTGTTTTTACTAAAGTAAGGCTACCTCCATATATGAACACACATCATGTACATAAAGAAATCTAATAAGTCTGCCCTTTGTTCATCTAATAAGTCTGCTTTGCGCTTATCAGATAAGTATCCTTTCACAGAGTCGTGTGCTAATATACCCCGTTGCTTCTTGTGCGAATTTTTCCCAAATGTAAACTAAGTGAAGAAAAAAAAAAAGTTTATTTGGGACGGAACTTCCATATCATATATACTAACTTATAATAATTTTCCATTTGAACATTACAAAAAGCTGAATCTTCTTGATTCTATTAAGTGGACATGGGCATAAATACTGTTTTCACACAGATGACGATTAATATATAGGCCTATATAAATGGTTGGCTCCAAATTTGCTTCCATGGCGCTAACACTAAGTGAGAAAACGTTTGCACCAGCTTTATGTATGCAGTTATTTAGTTGCATTCCCGTGTTAATTCTTTACAGATGTAAATAAATAAATAAATAAATATTTATATATATATGTTTGGCTCCAAGTTTTCCTCCAGGTATACGAGGTCCGAAAATGGCCTCTGATCAAGTTACAGGCCGCCACGGAGGAGGAGAATATGGGTGCATTGACATTGACAGTCGAGAGAATTTATGTCTAAATGCGAAGATGGGCGTCTTAGAATTAGGACTACCACGTGAAGTGGGATGGAACTAAAAATGGTTGGTGGTGGTTGGGGAAGGGGGGCTGGAATCAAAAGTTCTAGGGCAGGGATTCTTAACCTTTTTTGCAGCCCTGCACCCCCCTCTCAATTTTAAAACGGTCCGCGCACCCCCCCCCATCCCCACATAAATAATGTTGTAATACAATTTTAAAAAATGATAATAACTAAATAATTTAGTTGTTGTAGATTTATGTCACTAATTAATATTCTAAAAACACGAAAAAAGTTACCAATATAAGTAATACGTAAACAATATTCACAAAAAAACATTTACTGCTGCTAATTAAAAATGAAAAAAAACTGATTTTAAACAACTTTCATAAGCAGCAAATACAATTTTATGGGTATTTCGCACCTAAGGAGTGCTTTCACCCCTGGTTAAGAACCACTGTTCTTAGGAAATGTTGCCTTGACAGGTGCGGTCATTCGAGATCCACGGGGCGTCCATTTTTAACGGTTTGTAAAGGACAGCAGTGGACAGAGAGATTATTTTATAGGTGCGGGGGTGTAGATGTTTGTAACGTTATATTCGAGGAAGGAGGGGGGGGGGGTGTAACTTTTTGTGAGGGGGGGGGTAAAAATCGTTTTAAAAAAAATTGCGTGACGTCATTTATGTAAGGCCGCTAAGGGGGGGGGGAGATGTTTTGATTCGTTTAAATGTCAAAGTCTCTTAGTTTTGATTGGCCGAAACCTAAACTATTAAATTTATGAAAAAGTCGTGATTTTTGGTGGGGACACATGGGATGCAACTGAGATAGTAGTTGAGACATAACAAAAAACCGTTACTTTTTTTAAAAATTAATGTAATTTTTTTAAATCTTTGAATGCGGCATTTAAAAAAAAATAGAGCAACATTCTGGCAGTTGTCACATCTAGAGATAAAATAACTTTCAGACCACTGAGTTATGCCAACTATGCCTGGAGTCAACAAAGCTACAGAATTTATCAACGTTCAAACAAACTGATGGAGTGGTACTTAAATGGTGGTGGAAGAATCCACTCCAGTGGTCATCTCAGTCATGCCTACAAAGAACATCATGGCCGTAGCACAGAGAAAAGGAATAAGTTGACTTCGGTATGTATAGGACATGGCCCGTAGCACAGAGAAAAGGAATAAGTTGACTTCAGTATGGATAGGAAACATTGAGGAGAAGTGAGGCAACAGTTGTAGTGAACGAAGGCGGGTCAGCTGTGACGTCACTATGCCCCGATTACAAAGCTTTCGAGTGTCATTCCGTGCACTTCCTACCCACCCCACCCCCAAGATTCATGCATGAAGTATGCAGCAAAGCCAAGTATTTTTGTAATTATTTCATGAGAACAGTGGCGTCCCTAGGGATGCGGACCACACCGGGTGACATCATCGAAGGGAGATGATACCAAATGAAAAGTGGCGAATTTCACACAACTCGCGCTATTTTGTTCCATGACCGATCTATTTAAAAAGTAGGGGTGCCACCAGATCATACCCCACCACATCATAACCCCACCAGATCATGTCACCACCACATCATAACCCCACCAGATCATACCCCACCACATCATAACCCCACCAGATCATGTCACCACCACATCATCTCATCACCAGATCATGTCACCACCACATCATCTCATCACCAGATCATGTCACCATCAGATCATGTCAACACCAAATCATGTCACCATCAGATCATGTCACCACCAAATCATCTCATCACCAGATCATGTCACCACAACATCATCTCATCACCAGATCATGTCACCATCAGATCATGTCAACACCAAATCAT